CTGATTTCTTATATTCATTTTATGGATTTGCTTTACAGCCTGTTCTATTAACTCTGCTTTTTGAGACATATCAGCAGCTCCTCTATAAAGAAGATGCATGGTCTGTGAGTCTGCTTTAAGCTCTTCCGTTATGAGCACTGGTTAACAAAAGAAAATTATTATTTTCCTTGCAAAGGACTCTGAACAGTTCTTTTACATGCTGATCATTTGTTGGCCTTAGAAACCCTCTGATAGGCTGTCCGCTTCTGATAAAAGGTTTGACATTAATTTGCGTGCCTTTAATGAACTAGAATTTACAGTCTTATCTATTTCATCCTTTGATCATGAATTTAATTTTTTAAGAATACTTTCCTAATTATGGTGGTCTCCTTTATACTTGCCATTTTAGTTAAGAACTTCTACCATGATATCTTTCCAGGTGGCATGGAGGCCACTTCTCTTCTTATGACGTTCTCTTCTTGAAATTAATGACAACTGTAGAGGATTTTTTTACTTTTGTTGCTCCTAGAAGGAAGTATATTATGCAAACTACTATAAAGTGGTCCTTCAGCAGAAACTTTTTGACCTAAGTTCTACAAACTGTCTGTGACTAAGGGAGGGGTTATTTTTCCTCTTACGGATTTTCTTAGTAGCTTTTCTCTTAAGCAGTTTTATGATGTCTGTTCAATCTCAGTATAATTTCCGGCATAATATTTATTCAATCAACAGACGAATATTTGAAGTCTGCTACCCTTTTTTTTCTTTCCCCTGCTCTCACTGACTTTCTGATTTCGCTCAGTGTGTTGCAACTGCAGTCAGCAATATACTGGGTGATTGGTAGCATAGTCACAATAATAGTACACTTTTCCTACGTAGACCTCAAGCTTCAGTCCATAAGGGTTTTATATTAATTGTTCCTAAGGATAATTGATTTGTCTCTCAGCTTGCTTCACTTACAGAAAAAATCCTTCATGGGCTGGGCATGGCCTGTTCTGTTTCATATAGCGTGTACCCTGGCATTAGTCTCCTTGTGGATCTTCCTTCCATTGAGTTTCTATTTGCACTGTGTCAACAGCCTCTTAAAACCAGGTACTCTAGTTCCCAGAACCTTTTGTTAGCTAGTAGATTTTGTGTAAAAGCATATATACTATTGCTCTGCCTCTGTGTCATGTTTAATTGAGAGTTTATTTGTTCAAGCTCATATTTGTTATTTCTTTTTTGAGTTTTGTTGGCCTTTCCCCTATCATTGTCTTTTACTTACCACTCTTTCTCTGGCTCTTCCCCCTTTCTTGCTCTGGCTGTCTCCCTGCTCTGACTCTCTCATCTTTCTTGCTTGTCCCCACCCCATCTGTTCTGGTTGAGCACATTGTGTACAAACTAATTTGGCAAAATATTTTTAGAATTTATTACCTTGCTAACACACTAATTCTGTATAAACCTAAATATTAGTATCATAGAATTTCAAAACTTATCATTTATAATGAGTGAAACTGATATTCTTATTGAGATATCATGCAGCTGAAGTAGAGCTTCTTTTATTTGAGGTGGTGAACTCTGGTTATAGATTATCACCTTTCAGACTTTTCTGAGAAAATTATTCTGCCACCCGATTAAGACCGCAGACCCAAGAGAAGTCTTCCACCTCTTCTAGAAATCAAGGAGAAAAACCTGCACTAGCCAACATCTTATTTTCTTCTTGAGATAAGGCTCTGGTAGCAGGTTGCTTTAGTTCCTTCATTTCTTAACGGGGAGAGCTGCAGTGATTTTCAAAGTCTTCACTAGGGAAGTAAAAAGAATTATTCACAAATTTGTTTCAGTGCCAGACCGTTTGGCCACCCTGATGAATGAGACAGATCCAACTAATCACCCTGTTAGACTGTTTAAGGAATATCTTGACATCTGTAGTACTTGATGAGTGAACAGACCGGACACTATGAAGTTAACTGTCGTTCCTCAGGAGAAATATGAAATAGAAAAGAAATAAAAAGCACTTTTTTCTCACACTGTGATTTGAGAGATTGTAGAAAAATTCCTGGAGGCAGTCTCACACTTTTACTAGGTTAGAGGAAAAGCTACGTGAAGCTTTCTTAGAGATCTGTAGAAAATCATTTGCTCCTAGCAGGGGAATCTGAAATTACTTTCAAAGAATCACCTATAACTTATCTTGTCACAGATGCATTAGATGGAAAAACTGAGAGAGTTTTTGCAAATGTTTTCCGTTTGAGTAGTGATATTCAGTTTTCAGATATTTTACTTTGTCTACCATCTTGCTAGTTGAAATGTAATTTTTGTGCCTCTATCAAAAATGCACAAAAACCCTACCCCAAAATAACAAGAGATAATTGTCAGCATTTTTAATACTCTATTTGAATTTTTGTATCTGGAAGTCAGTGCTCTAGACATAACTCTGTAACTGGATGAGTATGGATGGTACTGCAAGAAGGGAACATCTTTTCTCAGAACTTGAAATGGAGTTGGAATGGAACAAAAGCATGGGTTAAAGAAAATAGAAGTCCAGGTGAAACAGGGGTTAAGTGGAGAAGAAGAGTTTGGGAGAATATGGCTGCAGATAGTATCTCAAAGAAAATAGGGCAGATTTATAGATTCGAGAACTGGAAGTATAGGTTATTTTGGGAATTGAATATATCTTTTCAGTATGCCTTGTATTATGCAAAGAGGGAGGAAAAGGAGTGATAGTACTTTTGAACAGTTTAGACACATTTATCAGTTAAATCTTAAGATCCATCCTAGATAGATTGAGGAAATTCTTACAGTCATTAAATGATGTCTTGTCAAGTAGAAAATGAGTTAAGGTGATTTTGTTTGCATTTTTTTTTAGTGGGTGCAGTGGTTTTAGATGAGAGAAGCTATTACCTTTTAAGCTTTTCTGGCGTTTTTATATTTTTAATAATAAAACTTGTCAAAATGGGTTTGATATTTTTAAAGATGTTTCTAAAGAGTTAGATTTCTGAACTCAGGTCTGCTTTTAGAATATGTGACTATAACAATGCCCAAGACTTTTAGTGGTGTGTGAAAACTGCTGTGTCTGATTTACTCTATTCAAAACCTCAATTCCTTCTCATCTTTTTCCTCTTCTACAATTCCTAGGAAGCCCAATTTCTTTTTCTTGTAACTATGAGTTTTACTTGAAATTCTCCTCTTTTCTACGTATCTCAAATGTTCAGTGTTTCTTCTTTTCACTATTCTAACAAGTGCATTGGAAGGCTAAAGAGTGAAGTTGTGCTGTCTTACAATTTTAATGAAGAAATAAAGTTTTAGGTTTAATTTTAGACAGCCATTTTAGAAGCCACTAGAAATTGAAGAGGAACATATACAATGAGTTGTTACCTAGAAATTATTGCTTATGGTCTGGGCAGCGTTTGCAAGTTGCTTAATTGGTATCATAGCTGGTACTAGGCCAATCTACTTGCCAACAGTGACGTCTGTTGATAGAATGGCTGTTTTATTTTGTTAAACTGTTTTCTTTTGGAGCGGGAGTCACGATACAAGACAGCAGAGAGAAGAGAGATCATCGTAGCGGGGAAAAAAAGGAGATGAATTTATAATCGAATAAAAAGTCTTTATGTTGATGATAAAGGAGAATATTAAGTTTCCTGGAGAGTGTGTTTTCTGATTTATTGAACTTTTGTAATGTGTGCATTGACACATAAATATTTTGGTAAATACTGGTAATTTGGTAAATGTTCCTCTTATAAAAAAAAAAGTAGCGTTTCCTCTGGCCATTTCAAATCTGGAATTAATTTTGTGTTCTTTAATAAACTCAGCGTATTTATTGTGGAAACTTAAAAGCGTTTTCTTTTTCTCTTTGGTGGAAAGTAGTAACGTTATCCATCAGCATTCCTAGGTGTTAGTAACAATACATTTAGCTTAATTGCACTCCAATGTATTCTGTTATGTATCAGAATTATAACTTCATATTTCTTTTATTCTTTCCACAGAATATAAACCAAGACTGATACAATATTAATGCTTTCTATGTACAACCACATAAAGATCTCCTCTAAGGAGCTGCTGTAGGACAAACACTGCGAATAATTTTTCTCCAGTACAATGTGGTGAAGCAGAGCAATTGAAATTGTCCACTTTTGTACAGGCTAAGGACTTAAAATGCTTGTTATTTTGTGAGAAGAAGCAGTTTTTGAGTGAATCGAACACCTGAAAATGCGGCCATGGACTGGTTCTTGGCGTTGGATTATGCTCATCCTCTTTGCTTGGGGAACTTTACTCTTTTATATTGGTGGACATCTGGTACGAGACAGTGAGCACCCAGATCACTCTAGTCGTGAATTATCCAAGATACTTGCTAAACTTGAACGTTTAAAGCAGCAAAATGAAGACTTAAGACGGATGGCAGAATCTCTCAGGTAAGATTCAAAAAGTAATAAAACTATTCAGAAGATGGTTGTATGAAGTTAAAAAAAATTAAATTGAAAGGTTTTTTTAAACCTATTTTTGTTATATTTAAAAACATAGAGAAGTATTTTGTTCAATGCTATAACTAAATGAAAACATGTGGCAAAAAGCTTTAAACAAACTAAGTAATCTTTTTCATTTAGTTTTAGTCTAACCTAGGGTCACTATTCAATGCGGTTCAAGTGTTACTATCAGAACACCAGAATTCTGTAGGAGAGTAACTCCTCACCATCATGGATTTAACAGTTGCAGCAACTTCAACAATCTTTATGATGTTTAAACCAATGAGAAGAGCTAGTGACTTTTCTACGCTTTTGCATGCGGTAGCTGGTGGAGTTCATTTTAGAAGTGGTGAGAACGTTTGTAGAACTTGCTGAAGATAAACGTGGCCTGCTGAAGATGAGCTGCAATAGACTGCCACGTTATATGAATGCTCATAACTATTTTTTTTATTGCCTTACAGCTAAGCTTGTAGTGATGCTTGTAAAATAGTGAAGCTCCTCTCCCTTTTTATAATTATTTGTTAAGTTATAAATGGGTACACTTGCAGTTTGAAGTGCTTTCTTTTACCTTCTCCAGCAGACAGCGCCTCTTACTAGTAAGAAGCTATATAAGCATCAGGAGATTATTTCTCTATCTGAAAGCCATTAATATTCAAAATGAAAATGAGAGGGTTCCCAGCTTCTGATAATGTTATCTGCCTCCTTGGATACTGCTAAACTAGCCTAAGTGGGTTAATTTACCTCTGGATGAGAAAGATTTATGAGAAGAGCAGAATTTTTCATTTTGGAATCCAATTTTTTTTTTTTGATTAATTACAGAGCCATTATTAAATCTTGTTTTCAGAGGATCTGTACCCCTGTCAATAGTGCAGTATCCATAATAGTGGGGCTATGATATTTCTAATGTGAGCAAAAAGTAGTTAATCTGAGTGCCTGAAGACTGATAGGAGCTAATATAGGTGCTCTGGAATATGGTGTAGAGACTTCTTAATATCACCCTAAGGAACCAGGCTGAGTTCAGCAGCGCTGCTTTGGTCCTTCTTGGCCTTAGTTCCTGTAGTGTGAGGTCTTCCTTCTGTGCTGTCCAGTGTTCTGCAGGGCATGTTATACTGCTGTAATACCAGTTTAAGTGTTTGGAACCAACTCAGCTCTACATTTTACTATCTAATAAGTCCTCCAGACTTCTTATTAGAGTCGTCCTCTAATACTCCATCTTGCTTAGTGCCGGCCAGATTGCTTTTTTGCGTAGACTTCTGGGTGTCTTTGTATGACTTTTCCCAGCTTCTTACGCTGGATGTGATGCCAAATTGGATCCAAGTATGTGGACATCACTACACACAACCTGAAAATCCTACTGCATCATGGGAACACGCGCAGAAGAGGTAGCTTCATATGCTGTTGTAGGAGACCAGAGTAACAAAGCTCAATAGAAGGTCTTATGGAATGGGAAGGTAGTATTTCTTTCTAAATCTCTTATGTGAGCTGAAGTTATACTCACAAGCACGAGGACATGTGTGCCGAAGTGGTCTGGCTAGGATCACCTGTGTGCAGCGTGGAGGACAAGGGGCACTGGCAGTTGAGCCCTCTTCACTTCTCTTGGGTTCTTCTTTGTTGGCAATGACAAACTGATTTTGGACTTGCCTTTTAATACCTTTTAGGAGCAGATGCTGCTTTTGATTTTTTACCTTGTTGTTTTGTTTCACTCCTTCATACATCATGGGAAAAATTACTGAATTGCACAATTCTCTTTTTCTCCTTATTTTGCTACTTTTCTGTTCTTCATCTTCGTGTTACCTTATCTTTAGGTCAGTTTGGAAGCTGGAAAAAGGTGAAGCCTATTTCATCTGGTAGGTTAGGAACTGGTTTCCCTGCCTTAGTCTTTATCACTGCACTCTGTTCCTGGTTTATGGAATGCACTGTTGGGTGCTGGGTGCTGATAAGGCTTCTTAGCTCGGGATTTGTGTTGTGAAAAACACGTATCTTAGTTTTGAACATATGTCAGCACTGGAAAAGGTGCCTCAGCTTTCATGTGGTGCTGCACAGAGAAAGAGACCCAAGCTGTCTCTGCACCTTAAGCACAGATTGTCTTCATCTTGACTAATACAGCAATGGATGACTGAGTGGGCTGTAGTTATCTAAACTTAATTTATTAATATATGACAACAACTGCACTGACCAGCAGTTTAATATATTTTTGTTGCCAAAATGATGTAATATAGAGTCTCCTGCCATAAAGAAACTTAAGCAAGATCCAATATTTGAATAAAATACAGTACCTTAAGTTACTTTAATATGAGACAATAATAGGCAAACCCTAGGGTTTGTGTCTGTTTCAGAGGGGGTAATATTTGGCCTTGAATGCAAGATTACCAGTCCCCATGCTTTCAACTCCCCACATTTGGCTGACCTGAACAGTAATATGATGTGTTGCACAGTCATTGAAATAGGACCATTTCAAATCGTGTAGTGCCTAGAAAAGAGTAAATGTACTTGATTTCACTGATGACAGGGTACAGGCATTTGGTAGAGGAGATGCATTGACAAAGGTTAAGGTATATTTTAGGCAATGATGATTTTTTTCTAACCACCTCTCTGTTTCTCCAGCCTCTCTATATTCTGGAAAATATATTTCCAGTGGCCAAGTTTTAAATAATAGCTAATATTGTATTGACAATTTTCTGTGATATACACAAAGATAAACATCAATTTAGTTCTATTCTAAACATGTTAGAATGGAACATTCCTTCTATGTCCTCCAGTTAACTGCTGCAAGTTTCTGGAACAGGTGATCCCAAACTGTCTTATCTGGACTCTGCCCAGCTTCTTTTGTGTGCTGAGAGGTATTTCTAACACCTTTCTTCCTAGTGATTGTATATAACCGCAGGAGAATTTGAAACTCTTGCACAAGAAGCCTGAAGTGACTTTAAATGCCTATTTGAATAACAGTACATCTACATGGTCAGCTGTCAGTGCTGGCTGAAAATGAGCCAGTTCGGGCGTGGAAGCTCTTCAGGCAGTATTTTCATTATTTATAGTGAGCAAAGCTCGGAAAGTTGTTTTTGTAGAAACTTCAGAAATAGGTTAGAGAAAAGTTTCTTGGTCAACCTTAATCATTAAAGTATTCCATCATAAATGTGATACAGATTTTCAGTGTCTCGTCTCTTTGTTTGCTAAATAGAACAGGTGGTGTTAAAAACAACTAATGGCTTAAATATAGCTCATATACAGTTTTATAGCAATGCAGCTATTTAAAATGAGGCCATCCACCGTCCATGGATTTGGTATCTCCTGGAAGAGATTACTGGTACTATGAACGTTTATTAAACAAACAAAAATATCTCCTAACTTCAAAGATTCAGACAGAGAAGATTGCTATTGCCCAAGATAAATTATGTCTTCACTTTAGGATGTTATTTTAGGCTTTGCCGATCAAAGACAGAGAAGCTGGAACTATTATTTGAATACGATTTCATTGCCAGGAGGTGTGGTTTTACACTGAAAACTCATAATTATTGATTCTAACTGTGAAATCTGGAAGGTTAAGAAGCTTTATCAATGTAGCTCGTAATGGTCAACCCTGTTCCCAGCTTGGATATTGCTACATTGAGATAAAAACTCTATCTTGTTTTTGTTGTTCTGTCTCCATTTAGATTTTACATCTAAAGAAATAGGCTTTTTAATTCCACAATAGGCTTTTTAGTTGCACACTTTTTGCAATGAAGATACAGAATATAGTGCAGCGTGCAGCAAGGATAAGCTAAGGCATTAATTTAAACTTATTTCAATAGTAATTCCAGCTTAAGGTCATATCTAGAGGAGTTTAAACAAAACAGGAATGTCTTCATCGAAGACTGCAACAATAAACAGGAAGCTGATTAAGTATACCAGTAAAAGCCTTTTGACATAATTAGATGTAACTTTTAGATTAAAAAGAAAGCTCCAGATTCACAGATTTTTTGGGGTGTAAAGAAGCTTTGTGAATAGCAGAAAATTACCATAATCCCGAGCTATGTCATTAATAATAGCTAGCTGGGGCAGGAAGAAAGAGAGGGAAAGCATGTAAGATTACAAGAACTGAATAGTTCAATAAAGTAGAAGTTGTTGAAACAATTTCCATTTTGAATCTAGAGAAAACTAGCTTCAAAATATTTGATCTTTAATTATATGGATACCTTATTTATATCGTGACCATTATATTTAAATTGCCTAGCATTTTCCATTATAACAGTTCTTGTGAGTTCTCTGATTTCCTCTTTGCCTGATAAAAGTGCTGAATCCTCTGGGATGGTGAAAATAGGAGCTGGGCTGTCCTTAATTGCATCTGGCCATCCATGAAGGCCAGCATATGGCACCAAGAAGTGATCTTTCCATTCTCAGATATGAATGTTCTTTTGCCACCAGTTTATGAAGAAACTCCCCGTCCCTAAAGATAACAGAACAGCCAAGAAAAAGTATTTGAAAAGAAGATAATTCACATGCATACAAAATCAACCTTTTAAAACTTGGGAAATGGCATATAGAGACTACCCTTATAAATCTTAGCTAAGCCCTTTTTTGGATTATGATACTTAAATTGTATTTGATATGTAGTTTTTCTGCTGGTTACCTCTCTCCTATGCAGGATGCATGAGGAGTAGAATGAAGATTTCATGGCAAGAAATTGTCTATTTTTTCCCCTAACTTTTGTATGTTTGATTTCACAAAATAAATAATACTTTTCTAACATTTATTTTATATTTTTGTGAGGTTATCCTGAGATCCATTTTTTAAGGTATGTCTTTGCAACAGTGCAAGTTGAAACAGTCCTATCTTTTTGCATTTTCTAAATTTAACACATTTTTTGTCCTTTAGAAATTGAGTACGCTTTTGTGTTGTGCTACTTCTGATGACTTGTAATGAGTTCAGGCAGCACTTCTTTTTCTTAGTGCATTTGGAAAGCTTTGGGTGGG